CCTCAAGTATTAATTCTGCTAAATATGTCTCAGCCAGTTGTTTCTTGATCTCTCCAAGGAATGATCAATGAATACAGCCCGTACCTGTTATTTTGCCAGCATCTCCATTTCATCAATTTATGGCAGGAGGTAAAACTGGCAAGTTCAGTAACGAGGGAGTTTGAGTATTTCAATCTTTCCTCTAAGGAGATAGAACCATTCTGCAGATGTGACCCAATTCTTGCTGATAGCTTCCCCCCAAAAGGTTGTAAAGCAACTTGTCAAGAAAATAAAACCCAGATTCCAAGATAACCCCATTTAAAGTAGAACCTACAGTCATAGGTCCTAAGTCATAATGTGCAAGAGCATATGCAGGTGATGCACTTTACAGACAGAGGTGAGAACATCCAGCCACAAGCAACTCCATGAGATGAGCAGAATTACCAGGGCCTTCTTAGAGATGAAGAATCTGAGATGCACAAAGGGTAAGAAACTTGCCTAAGGCCACATACTTAGAAAGTGGCACATCTAGGATTATATGTCTTCCAGGTTCTGATCTCTCCACTAAATCTTATTAGAAGAAACACTGGCTTAGGAGTCAGGACATCTAGGCTATTGTTCAGCTTGACCTTGGGCAAATCAGTGCACTCCCTATTATAAAATAAACCGAACAGGGTGTGGGGGGTGGTAACTGGTTTAACCAATCTCCAAGGCTTCTGTGATCCAGCCAGTCTTTCAATGCAAGATAGTTGAGAAATGGCCTAATTTGGGGCCTGAATCAGTTTTGCCAATCATCAGGTTTGTGGAAGATACACCTCTTCAGGCCTGCTTTGTGAAAAGAGGGCTGGACAGGCAGGTTCCAAGGTTCCCCTGTTCTGATGTGCCACAATCTTAAAATATCCTCAAATCATTCTATAATTTGCAGTTATGAAGAGTTTAAAATTAATTAGTTGTCTAGTCATGGGATTTGGTTTTTAAAAGGCTAGCCTTCCATAAATAAATAAGTTGATGGAGCACAAATTTAAGATAATAGTACAAAATTTAAAGCACTCATTCCCATGAACTCTAATTTTTTATATACTTCAGACCAACTTGATTAAACAGAATTCATTTTTATCTTTTTAAAAATTTTATTTTATTAATTTTAATGAACATTTACAGAGATTTTGGATTTCCATTCATTCATTGTTACACTATTTTCTCTACCCCCACCCAGTTCGTTCCTCTTTTCCCCCTTGAAAGTCTGTTTTAATTGTCCCATTGCCACAGTGCTTGTCAAAACCAGTTCTGATTTATCTCCTTTGTCAGTGTGTCCTTTGCCATTCCCTATCACTCCTCCCTGAGAGAGACTTCACCCTGATTCATAACGAAAAGGGGACGGCGTATTTTCTTAGCTACTTCCTGCTGAAAAGGGATGCTGTAGGTTTCAGGGTGAAGATGTTCTCTCACTACTCTAAAGGGCCCTTTGGCAATAGGAAACACAGACTATTTTGGAGACTGATTTTGGATATTTTTATATCTTTATTGCTTTTGCTGAGGCACAAACCATGTAATACAGCAGGAAGGGCTGCCTTTTTTTTTGCCAATACTCAAGATTCTAGCTGATATAGATGGTATGTGTATCTTTAAACTGAGCCTCAGCTTTTATCATCTGTATAATGGGAATAGCATCTACTGCGCAGAGTTATAAAATTTGGAAACTCATAGCCTAGTTAGTGATACATGGCTGATCTTCCACAAATAAATGACTAGACTACAAATTCATGCCTCTCTGGCAGTTCAAATATACCAGCAGCTTCTTGGGAAAAATATGGACAATCGCCCTTTGCCCATCAGAAAACCCAATGAAGTGTCAGCTATCATTCGGCTACAAATTGATGGCGATGTGCAAAGGCTGGGTGGATCACAACAAACTGTAGCTAAACTTTTGAAAAATGGAAATCCCAAAGCACCTGATTGTGCTCATATGAAAGCTATATTGGACCAGGAAGCAGATGTCAGAACAGAGCAAGGAAACACTGCATGTTCAAAATAAGGAAAGGAATCTGTCAAGGATGTGTCCTGTTTCAATCCTTTCCAATCTATATGTGAAACAGATCATTTGGGAAGTTAGACTTTATGAAGAGGAATGTGACATCAGGAGGAGGAAGACTCAACAAACTACATTATGCAGATGACACCACCTTGCTTGCTGAAACTGAAGTAGACCTGAAGCACCTGTTGCAGAAGGTCAAGGATTGCACCATGATAAGATGGAGAAGAGATTGTTAATAGTTAACAGTTTGCTCGGCTCCACCATCAACACGCTTGGCACCAGCACTCAGGAAATCAAAAGACAAATTCCATTAGGAAAATCTACTGTCAGGGACGTCTCCAGAGTGCTGAAGGGCCAAGATGTCAGTTTAGAGACTAAGATGCACCTGATCCGGGCCATGTTCTTCACAAATACTTGCTATGCACCAGAGAGCTAGACTCACCAGCATATAACAACAAATGCAAACAGTTGATAGCCGTCTGATAATAAACAACAGGAATTATGTTAACATGTTGCCACAAATGACAGCAAATGTGTTTCTAAGCACGGTCGTCAAGCTTTCCATCAACTGACTGCACGCTACAATCAACAGGCAGGCTGTAAAAATTATGAGGCTGCCATACCTCAGATCTTAATCAAACTGCTGGGTAGGCCTCAGCTGACTCCAGGATATCTGGAAGGTCAGATACCCCACCTAACAATCTAACCTTTCTAAGCTTAGAATCTAAATTACTCCTAAGGATGCCTGGGAGTGAGTGTTGTTAGGTGCTGTTGAGTACGACCCATAGTGACTCTCTGAATAACAGAAGTGAACCCTATCCTATCCTGTGCTATCCTCACAATTCCTCACACACTGGGGACCATTACTGTAGTCACTGTGGCAGTCCACCTGGTCGAGGGTCTTCCTCTCCTTCACCAACCCTTTACCTTTCCAATTATCATGTCCCTCTCCGAGGAATAGCCTCTCCTAGCAACATGTCTGAATTAGTGACGCAAAGCCTTATCATCTTTGCCTCCCAAGAGCACTCTGGCTGTATCCATTCCAAGACATAATTGTTTGTTCTCTTGGCCATCCATGGGATCTTCAGTACTTTCCCAACACCTCAAAGGCATCAATTCTCTCAGATGCACAGCAAGTGATGGGAAAGACCATGGCCTGAAAGAGCCTCATGTGGGAATAGGCAAGGTTTGGAATACACATTAAGAAATTAGTTGGTTTCTTCGGGAGGTTGAGGGAGGTACTTGAGTAGAGAGAAATGGACCCAAACTGTTTGCCATCCAAATAAATACAATGAAAGATTATCAGAATCCAGGGGAAGTAAAGACTCCGACTAGCTGATGCTACCAGCAAAGTGGTGGCATTTGAGTCCCTGTGGAAATGTGCTACGGAGAGGTCAGTTTGGAATTGAGAATGTTGAGTCCTCCCAGGACCAGATATGGGTCAGGACCCTGGCCTCAGAGAGCTCACCATCTACTACGTGAGGCTGAACCCTACAGTGAGCTATGTGCAAAATGGGAAAAAAACATGATCAGTGTCGCTAAGTGCTGTGAGGTGCAGAGCACAAACCCACTTTGAATAGATGTCAGAAATGCTTTGAAGAAATGATGGCCTTGAACTTGGCCTATCGGCTCTTGTTCGATTTGGATTTGTAGGGAACTAGGGGGCCAGGGATAGGATACCTGATTGTGCTGCTAATCTGGTAACAGCAGCAAGGAAAGCAGCAGCACTCTGAAGATTCAAGTTCACCCCCAGTTTTTACTGAATGCTGGTGGAGACCCTCTTATTTTACCCCTGGGTGGCTCTAGGTTCTAAGGCTATACCTAAAACAAGGTCACCATCCTGCTGTTCCAGAAACCTGTGGAAAGAAATGGTTTAAAACACACTTTTCCACCCACCCAGTGTTTTTGTTTTGTTGGTCGCCGTTTTCGAGCGGGTGTGCAAACAGCAGAAAATGAAAGGAGAGGCTGAAGCTAGGAATCCACTGCATGGTTATGACTGCGATTGTCTGAATTAATATGCAGCGTGTATCTACCCCAACTGCTTGACTTTATTCAGTCAATACAACACAAGCTCAGAGCTTACGCTGCTTCAACAGGGCCAGGCCTCTGGAGGTGGTTTTTGGTTTGAGTGATCAGCTAATTATAGTCACTTTCCAGTTAGTTTCCACTCAGAGGAACCGGCTCTACCTGTCATGAACTGCTCATAGAACCACCCAGGAATATAGGGGTTAGAACTATACAAACCTGCTACAATTTGTGCAAGTTACAGATGTGAACTAAGGACCCGGAAGAGGAAGGGCATGTCCCAGTCACCAGTGAGTTGACGGGAGAGCCAGATAATCCTGATATTTCCCCCCTATAATCTCAGCCCACTTCTGTGGAGGAAGGTTGAGAGGCCTGTGGTCAGACTGTCAGGACCATGAGGGGACCTCAAGAGAGAGGGTAGTGACTCATCCCAGGACAAAGATCGAACTTGAGTTTTTCCTCCTGTTTCTTTGTCCTCTAATTTTTTTGTTTTTTCTTGTTGTGTACTGTCGAGTCAGATCTGACTGGTACAGGAGGAGATGCCCCTCTTACTCCAGCGGAGCATTTAGTGGATTCAATGAAAATTTAAAGGAATAGTATGTGCTGGAGAGGCCATTCCAGACAAACAACAAGTTAGTTAATTACAAAGAATTTGAACAGGTGACTGGATTTCCCCGAGCTAGTCCTAAGGAGTTCCTGGGTGGTACAACAGTTAATAACAGTTTTTAATTAAAACGGCAGTTTAGGCCTCCGAAAAAAGGCCTGGCAATCTGAAAAACCAGCCCCTGAAAACCCTATGGAGCACAGTTCTAACCTGTCACACGCGGGGCCACCAGGGGATGGGGCTGACTTGACAGCAATAGGATCTGATAACAGAACCTCATCATCATGAGCTGTCCTGTTCCTGTCCAGAGACCAGCTCAGGATAGAACTGTCAGAAAATGCAATTATGAATAATGAGGCTGCAGGGGTGAGGTGGGGTACATTTAGACGACCTGCACCGAACTCAGTAACTCTATGACCCCTTCTCTGGTGAGGAAGACCACCTCATTGGTGTTCTGGCACCAAACCTCAAACTGTGAAGGGTCCTCCAGTGCCCTCTTGCCAGCAATGATCACAAAGGGGTAGCCCAGCGTGTTGGCATCTTTCAGTCTGTTCCCAATGGTCAGGTGAGTCCTGTCGTCCAGTAGGACCTCACCCTGAAGCTGTGGCACCGCCTTGACGATGTGGTCACACAGGCTCTCCGTGAGCTCTGCAGCCCCCTCCTCCTTGCTGCCCTGCTTGGGTGGGATGAGGCAGACTTGGTAAGGGGCTAGGAGCCCAGGCCAGCGGATGCAGTCCTCAGTAGAGAGTACTTCAATGGCAGCGGCCAAGATCCGCGTCACGCCCAAGCCGTAGCACCCCATTTCGGCCAGCGACGGTTTGCCGTGGGCATTGGCAAACTGGGCATTGAAGATGGAGGAGTACTTGGTGCCCAAGTAAAATGTGTGCCCCACCTCAATGCCTTTGGTTTCAGAGAGCGGACCCTGGCACATAGGGCAGTTCATCTGTGACAAGTCTAGTGTCTCCACGTTGGCCGAGAAGCTGCAGCTGGGACAGATGGCAAGCCGGTCCTCACCGACATGCACTGGAAGCTGGAACTCATGAGACATGGTGCCTCCGATGCTGCCCACGTCGGCCTGGACCTTGACGAACGGCAGCCCCAGCCTGTTAAACAGGCTGCAGTAGGCATTGCACACCAGGCTGTAGGTCTGCTGGGCAGCCTCGGCGGAGCAGTCGAAAGTGTACATGTCCTTCATGTAAAACTCTCGGCCACGGAGAAGACCAAAGCGGGGCCTGGGCTCATCCCGAAACTTCCTTGTCACCTGGTACAGCAGGAAAGGAAGCTGCTTGTAGGACAGAGTCTTCTGGGAGGCAACCAGAGCCGTGATGGCCTCCTCGTGGGTTGGCCCTAAGCAGTATTCCTTACCGTGTCTGTCCCTAAGTCTTAGCAGCTCCTTGCCCATCAGGTCCCACCGGTTGGTAGCACGCCAGAGCTCTGCAGAGCTGAGGCTGGGCATGTTGACCTTCTGTCCCCCAATGGCCTGCATCTCCTCGTCTATCACTCGCACCAGTTTCTCCATGGCACGCACGGTGTAAGGTAGAAGGTGGTAACAGCCGGGGTTTGCTGGGTGGATGAGGCCCACCTGAAGCATCAGCCGCTGGCTCTTACATGTCAGCTCGCCAGTCCTGCCCTCCAGGGACAGCACCTGGTCTTCCCGCAGGTTCTGTGGCTGGAACATGCGGGACAGCAGCAAGCGCCTCCCTGTTGCTGGGGCACAGTGGTGGAGTCTGCTGGGGACAGTCCTGGAGAGCTGGAGTCTGCAGCTGGCCAGGGTGGCCAGTGCTCTCCATCTCATCACCAGGCCTTCCATGACAGCCCAGAACCGGGAAGCTTGTGCCTGTGGAGTGCATCATAGAGAAATCACATTAACATGTGTTCCAGCACCATGAAACTGCCAGCTGTCTGGTCTCCAGACTTCTTAGACAGCCTCTGACTTTGCAGCTGCAAATCTTTCCATTTCTAATATCCTCATAAATCAAAGACTACTTTTCTTACCTCTGACTTAAAAAAAAGTACTATTTCCCTGATCATGGGGAAAAAAATAATATGCTGTTGAGATACACTAGCGTGTAGTAATGAGTGCAGACCCTGAAAGCAGGCAGCCTAGAGCCGTATTCACGTGACTCACCCGGTGCCATACCCTTCCACATTTAGTTTCCACATCTGTAAATATAACAACCCAGCACCTACCTAGGCTTATTGTGAGCATCGGAAAGGTTGTGGAAAGTTCACAGAACAGGTTCTGGTTCATACATTACATAGTATGTTTTTGTGGCTCAATGTTTACTGTCATTAGTATAGATTAACTGGTGGTGGGAAGAGGCAAAGAAACAAAGACAAGACTGGCCATCATCCCTCCACCCAGAGGCCATGGCTTGCAGAGGTGCTGTAACCCTGTTTTGCAAGCCTGCTCCCTTGTCCAGGAGCCTCTGGGCGGCACAAACTGTTAAGCACTCATCTACTAACTAAAACTTAGCAGTTTGAATCTGCATAGAGCTGGGCTTTGGAAGGAAGCCTGCCAAAATACTTCTGAAGAATCTATCACAGAAAACCCTGCAGGGCACAGCTCTACTTTGCAACATTTGAGTTGGAAATGACAAGTGGTCTTGTCCTTTGTCCACCCCTTAATGTGTGTCTCTTCTCTCCTCATTGTTCACACATACTAGTTAGGCCACCGACTGATGACATTGGGTCCACATCTTCATTCACCCCAAGTGTCTCCTGAGCTTCTGACCCACGTATCCTATTGCTTCCTGGAGAACACCTGGCACTGGTACCTCAGTGTCCTGAGAGAAAGCCGCAGCCTCCTCAGTGCTGCCACTCCAGGTGGTACCACACGACCCCCTTCTGCCAAGCCACACCCTCACATCCTCAGCCCCATGCTCATCAGCCCACTTAGCATGTGGTTCCCACCTCCTTAACGGGTGGTCTCTCCACAGCCACAGCACAGACCCCAATCAGGCCGCTGTAACCTCTTACCTGAGTTGTCACAGCAGCCTCCTCTCTGGTCTGTCCCGCCCCATTCTGCACTCATACTGAAGCCGGAGGAGGAGGTACTTGCACAACACAGCCA